ATGATAACCGAACGTCAGGATCGAGTGGTTGCCATCAACTGCTGGTTCGTAGTCAGGGGGACCCGTATTCGAATCTCAGACCGGTAACCCGGTTATCCTGAGGTACTTCTTCGTCTTCCTCAGTCTCTACAGACAAATGCTGTGACAGTACCTTACAATCGGCACCTAACGTCTTTTCAGGCCCAACATTCACTATCACACCGGCGTTCGACACCACAAAACTTAAGCAGTTGAAGATGCATGTCTAAATATCCCTACAGTCAATCAGTAACGAGAATACAATAAGATAAGGTAAATTTGTCCCTGTGCTTAGCTAATTAAGCGCTACGCCATGAAGGTGTATGGGGAAGTGGATGTATCGATCCACATTTTCTTGACCTCGGCAATAGTTGGAGATGACTGGTCAGCTTCACGCCCCGGCCACTTTATCTCCGGGAAAGAGCCCTCAGTACCCACTGGATAGGAGGGTGGGTGGGCCCCAGAGACAGTCTGGACGACATGAAGAAAAACGTTTTTACCCTACCGGGACTCGAACTCCGGTCCCTCGGTGGCGCAGCCCGTAGCCAGTCGCTATACTGACTACGCTATCCTGTCTCGTAATAATACAATAAAATTAAAAATGAATTACTTGTGTGTAGTGCAAGTACCATGCAGTTAGTTGGGTATATTTCGGTTGTGTTCCTCATAGTCTCCCATATTCCGCGTATGAAATGTGACACTTGTGTCATCAAGACTTGCAGATGCATCCCTCCGACATAACATGTGTATTTAGCACACCTGTACCAGTGCATTACTCTTACAAACGTAGGAGAGAGAATAACAAGAGAGTAGTGCAGCAGTAAGTGCAAAAATTACAAACAATAATCGTGTGCTGCAGCATAATGTTTTTCGAGTGTGAGATGTTCAAAATACACTATCACTTATTAATGTCGAATTTGTACTCGTACTTGTTGGGTCCCTTAGAAAGAGCTAACCTTAATCACTGGACAACCCTATCAAATTCACTACAGCTATCTAACTACGTGAGACTAGGCTACAGCATCTCTTCAGTCTCATAGGGTTGTCCAGTGATTGAGGTTAGCTTTCTATGATGAATCCAGCAGAGTAGGTATCTAACAACCCTCACCTGAGGACAGAAAGAGGTCTAGTTTCCGAAACGTGTTTTCTAGTTTTTAGAATACTAGACGACTTTTTATTGCTAGTGGGGTGGGACTAAGTCGCTTATACTGCGGCCACTTCTGGCCTATTGTACCAGCCCCAGATGATAGGTGAGGGTGATTGTGGAGCAATTGGTGGAATGAAGATTGTCAGGGGAAACCGAAGTACTCGGAGAAAACCTGCCCAAGCGCCACTTTGTTCACCACAAATCCCACTTGACCAGACCCGGGATCGAACCCGGGCCGCCGCGATGGGACGCCAGCGACTAACCGCTTGAGCTATAGCGCGGCCCTCTTTTGTACTAACTCTGTATTTGCCTGAGTGAGGAGACAGGTCAAATGGATGTACAAGAAGGATGCGCTTAAAGCGGGGAATCCCCATAAGGAGTATGAGTGTATGTGGAGTCCTTCTTTCTTCTTTTCCTTGGCACTACAGCCCCAGTGGGCCTAGGCCTACCTCCATGAACTTCTCCGTTCAGTATGTGGAGTCTACCGTTCTACAATTTTCAGCTTAGTATAATTAAAGTAATTAAATCAAGGACGATCATGTAGACCGCATGCTGGGATTTAAGAACGCATGCAAAACTTTAGATGGAAAACGTCAAGGAAAGAGACCACTTGCAAGAACTTGGCATAGGTGGGAGGATAAAAATAAAGTTGGTCTTAAACAAAAGGGCTGTGAATGTGTGGGTGGATTTATCTGGCTCTAGATGGGGTCTAATGGCGGATATTGGTGAATGTTCGCGTTCCATAACAGACCGGATATTTCTTGAACAGGTGACTGAATATTGACTCTGCCTTATGGAGCTTGTTAAGGGGTATTGAACGCAATGTACGATGGGGTACCCAAAAGAAACCGAACTAATTTTTTTGTGGGCAGAGCTTTTGTAGTACCGCGTTTTGCCGCTATGAGCGCATAGAGCTAACATTCCTGAGTCGATAAGCCGACTACCGTTGCTTCAGAAGGTAAGGACTAGTTTCGGCAGAGTTTATAGTGACAACTGTTCTGTATGATCGTCGTTTTTGCAATGGCCCGAACACATGAAAATGTTGAAAAAATTCGTGAAATCATCAAGGAAGATCGACGACGGACCATTGAAGAAATTGTGGAGCTGTCGGGAGTGACTTGGAGCTCAGTTCAGCGAATTTTGACAGAAGATTTGGGAATGAAAAGGGTGGCTGCGAAATTCGTGCCACGACTGCTGACTGCTGAACAAAAACAAGGTCGCGTGGAAGCATGCTGTGCTTTGAAAGAAGAATTCCGAAATGATCAAAACTTTTTTTCAGCGTTTTGCTGATTCTGCTGAGGTGAAGGAAAAAAACGACGGAGGCGCTATCAAGCATCTCAAAAGATGAATGTAGACAATGTTTTGAAAAATGGAATAAAAGACTAGACAAGTGTATTAGTGTAAGTGGAGAGTACTTTGAAGGGGATTGAAGGTTTGTGCTTAAAATTTGAATAAATAAGTTAAAAAAAAATAAGTTCGGTTTCTTTTGGGTACCCCCTCTTATAGGTCATTCTTTCGGACGAAAGTTTTTAATACAGTTTATAATAATGTAGCCTTTCTAGATGAGCAAAGTTCTAGTTACTAAACTCAATAGTTTTCCCAGTTGTCAGTCAGTTATCTAGCTTAACATACGTTGTCGTTCCAGCACGTTACAGAATTTGTAAAGAGCGCTAGTATTTCCGCGCCGTGGTCACGAAGTGAGGTGAATGCTGACAGTGGCTAGTGCTGCATTTGTAGAGCGCACGTGTGTACAGGTACAGTATATGCAGTGCTATAGTCAGAACAGTGAAGACTATTCAAAACGGTATTAATATTTCTGTACAATTGTGATGGACTGAACAGTGTGTTCACAGAGAAAGGCTAACGCCCCTGTTGTGTAGATGAACAACTGCTCTATATAGGGCTACAGTTAGTATTTCTGCGCACTCGCAAAGAAGAACAGACTGTGCTGATGTACGTACAATGCCTAATGCTACTTCCGTGAAGCGCTCAGGTGAAGTGCTATATGTAAAGCTACGGTCGGTCGAGATCTGATCCCGTGTGGAGGCGGGGTCGAATACCTGCACCGTAACCCTGCGAGTCGTAGGAAGCAACGAAAAGGGAACCCAGTGTCTGGGGAGTATAGATGGGCCACCCTGTTCCTGGGGATATAAATAAGGGGAACTGCCCCTCCAGGTTGGGGGAGCCTCGAATCTGAGATAGTAAAATATGGTCATTAATCCCTCGGGACTCTGGCCTGAGAATGACTGCGCTGGCGAGGACCAGCAGCAATTGTAAACATTAGATCAATCCTCTCTTGAGAGAGGATGTTACAAAAGGACTATAACAGCAGGTATTTAGTTGGAAAATAAAAATTCTGGTCGGGGGTCTCAAGGGGCTTGTCGCGAAGACGAACTGATTGGCGGTAAACCGCCAGTCGTAAAGTAGCTCTCAACTCTGAGATTGAAAGTATTGTTAATATCCCTGTGCGAACATGATGATGTGAAATATGTAGTGATAGTGGCCAATGCTGCTTTCCAAAGCGTACAGACGCGTTGAAGTGCCACATGTCAGTCAGAACAACTGGAAGCAGGCTTAATATTTCTGTGCAATCGTAATAAAATGAAGTGAAGTGAAGTGAAGTGAAGTGAAGTGAAGTATGCGCTCATATAGAGAATGCATAACGTTACTTTTGTAAGACATACAGGTGCAGAATGCTGTATGCAGGTCAGTCAGGTAGACTGAAAACAGCGTTACTACTTTTGTGAAATCGTGTTGAAGGAAAGAGCCTGTCGAAAAAGAATGGCTAATGTCGCTTTTGGAACGTGTGAATGTGGACAAGTAATACATGTAAGGCTAAAGTCTGCCACGAAGAGCAAAAACAGTGTTAACATTTCTGCTCTGTTGTGGTGCCTGTTTCTGCTTTCGTGAAGTGAAGCACTGCTTTGAGTGCAACGGTGTTGCCGTAAGACCTATAATTGATGCTCAACAACAATCAGGCCATAGACTGTCAAGTTTGCAAAGGTAGAGAATACGACTGCATCTGGGACGGATGTGGTGACCGGCAGTTAAACGAATAGGCCTATAGTGCGCACCGTAATTCCGAAAGGCTGACTTGAAGAAAGATATATTCTAGTGTTGTAGACACTTTATTGAGGAGCCCATACATTCATATCGATATACCGAAGAGTTTTGAATTGTTTATTTCGTTCAACATTTAGTCGCAAAATATATATCTATTTTCTTTTTAATTTGTAACAAGATACTCCTATACTAATGCCTCGGAAAGAAGTCTCATGGGTGGTGGGGATGACGATAACAGCGCTCAAGACTCCCCCTCTCTCCCTACTGTTGATTTCCTTCCAACTGCCTCTGGCGTGTGTCAACAAGCCCAACATTCATATGAACAGCATGTCTAACGGTATTGAGGGGGAAGGCGGCGGCATGTAGGGGAGTAGGGAGCAGGACGGAACGTAACAGTTGGAGGGAGATGTGGAAGAAGTCGATCCATGAATTTTCTTCCCGCTTCCTCGGTGGTAATTTCTGTTTTGGCGTCACATCCTGTGTACACAGCTAGAATTCTAGGTTACCTGTATAACGGTTTGAGTATTCTATAGGCCACAATAGAATTATATTAGATGACACACACACACAGGAAATTTACTTCTGTGGATAATATTCTTATCGTGAAGAAAATGGAATTGTTCTACTGCTCGATGTATGCACACTTCGTATACAACATATGGTACTCTATATCAGCAGGATAGGCCGTCTTGTAAAATTCAGCTTTTCACGTTGCAATGTTAATACATTGTACATGGAAGAAACATAGATTTGAAAACAAGTCACGTCTTACCCGTACTGGCTCGGTAATACAGTGGGATATCCAGCCCGAATTCCGGGAAACGGGAAACCTGAAATTATAAAAGAAGTGACATTAAAGTTAACGTACCCTTCGGTCTGCTCAGTATTGATATATGAATCGTATAAGTTACCAGTGTTTTCTGATGGGGTATGCATACAGAATTACAGTAAGAACTAAAGGTAAGAAACTCAGTCTTGGATGGAAGAATATTAAAACGAATTCTGAGGTTTAGAAGTTAATTCATCTGGCTGAGGACAGGATCCAACAAGGAGTTTTTATGAAGGCGACAAAAATGGAACATGGTGGGGGCTGAAATAAAACGCTTGTTTTTGGAACCAGCCGGGTCCAGCGAATATTTCCCTACTCTTAATTCTGACGTTCAAAATTTAGTGAACGTGAAGATTATCAGGTTTCTTTTATTTTTGTATGTTCCCTCTGCCGACGATCAGCACGTACAGTGTCATCTTATATATCATTCATTCGTTTATTCATCAATGGCTCTACAGCCCTTTGTTGGGCCCTGGCCTCTTCTTCAGTTTCGCAGTCTTAATTACAAAGACGGTAGGACTCCTTGGACGAGGGATCAGCCTGTCTCAAGGCCCCTACCTACACACATGACAACACAAACACAGAATAAACACACACAGGGACATGCATGCCTTGAGTGCGATTCGAACCAACGATCGCAGCGTTCAAACGAGCGAAAACAGTGCATGCCTCAGAACGCGCGGCCACCGTGATCAGCCATCTTATGTATTATGTGAGATAAATTGAAACAGAACCCATCAGTGGGTCACTTCCTGCATTCACCTAAAGCAGGTAAGAGAAGTCATGGCATTTTGGGATTTATGAAGGACTACTTCCTGTACCCCTGGTCGATTTTTCCGTTTCGTAATCCTACACATCAGTCTGTAGGATTCTCTAGACGGGTAATCAGACCGTCAAAAGGCAGCTACCTACACACAGAACAGCACAAATAGAGAATAAACGCACACATACATCCATGCATCGAGCGGGATTCGAACCCACGATCCCAGCGTTCGATCGCACAAAGACAGTTCATGCCTTACACCCCGCGACCACCGTGATCATCAACAGAAGCACATACCTCTTAAAATAAAAATTTCATAATCGTTTTTAACTTAACGACTATAAGAAAATAATAAAAAAAAACACCATATCCTTGCTTGTTGGTAATAAATGCATTGTGGGTATTATATAAGTGTTACATATTTATAAATAACTGTTTTAATGTACCTGCTGAATGTGGGGGCACGGTGCTTAATGGAAGAGCGAACTCCTTACATTCACCACTGTTGTAGCTGCTATCAGTTTTGCTATGACGTGATTCCAAATGAGAATGCATGTCGAACACATCCGGAAGGCAGCAAATAAACAGTGAGTTAAATGGTACATATTCACTCCTTTCCAGCTGTTTTCTTTTCGTTTTGTTTGTTTATTGCCTTTGCATGGTGTTCGTATCAGAATGTAATATCTGACAAGGAGACTCGTGAAGAATCTAAAAGGGATCTGACGATTGTGTATAACACTCAGAATTACTGCGTTTCTGGACTTTTTCCATCGTCCGGTATTCTAGAAATAAGAAAACATGACGTTTCGGAGACTTGATCTGTTTCTATCCTCAGGTGAGGGGGGGAAGACACCTACTAAGTTCGGCCCGTTAGAAGGAGCTAACTTCAATTGAGTAGTTGTCTTCCCCCTTACCTGAGGATGGAAACGGATCTAGTTTCCTAAACGTCGTGTTTTCTCACTCACTCATGGTGCTGAGCCCTTCTTGAGAAGCCGCCAGTTGTGCAGTTAATCAAGAACTTCCCCAGAATTATATGGAACCGGAAAGTTCATTACCGTGTTCAAAAGAGCCCTCCACTGGTCCCTATCCTGAGCCAGATTAATCCAATCCATCCCATCCAATCCTGTCTCTCTAAAATCCATTTTAATATTCTCCACCTACTTATGTCTTGGTCTTCCGAGTGGTCTCTTTCCTTCTGGCTTTTCCACCAATATCCTAACTGCAGTCTTCTTCTCCCCCATTCGTGCTACGTTGTGTTTTCTACTTTCTAGAATATCGGTCGATGAATAAAGTCCAAAAACGCAGCAATTTTGAAGGAAACTCAAGTAGGTTTACCCAAACTCTCAAATATTATGGATAGAGAGTGACAACCAGTGAAGTAACCTGAAAAGCTACTTGCAGTTCTCTACGGCGCAGAGAGCTACAGTGCCGACGTGGTGTAGTGTTTAGACTCATAGCTCATTCTTTTAACTAATCTGACATAAAAAAGGAGTGGGGTCATGCTGAGAGGTCTTCTGAAAGCAGGCCCGTTCTCTCAAGTGGAGAGGCAGATAAGTTAAGCGAGTGTTGACGCGCCATCTAAGTACCATCATTCACTCATATTGTAATAAAAACTCTGAACCCCCTCCCGTACTTCTTACCCAGATCACTCATTTGTATATATCCTAAATGTAATAATTATGGATCTTGACGACGCAGGTTCGATATCAGTTGAATTTGAACTAGCTCAGGTATATTCTTGCCCACTGCCCACTTCAGTACCCCATGTTACCTGCTCTTGGTGATGCGATATTTTGCCTTTGTTCGGAAATGAAAGTGTGGTAAAATGTGATAATTAGTACTCATCACAAACCTGTTATTGCGGTAATCAAATCAAGGATTTGATGGGCAGGACATTTAGAAATCATAGGGAAGATGAGAAATACCCGACTTCATGGAGCTGAGCCCCTCTTGAGAAGCCGCCAGTTGTGCAGCTACTAAAAAATTTCCCAGCATTTTCTGGAACTCAAAGGTTCATTACCGTGTTCACAAGAGCCCTCCACCGGTCCCTATCCCGAACCAGATCAATCCAACCCATACCACCCCATCCTATCTCTCTAAGATCAATTTCGATATTATCCGCCCACCTACACCTTGGTCTTCCCAGTGGTCTCTTTCCTTCTGGCTTTCCTACCAGTATCCTATATGTATTCCTCTTCTCCCCCATTCATGCTATACGACATGCCGATTTCATCCTCCTTGACTTGAGCTTTCTAATTATAATTGGCGAAAAGTACAAATTATGGAGCTCCTTAACAATCTCCTGTCACTTCATTTCTCTTCGTTCCAAATATTCTCCTTAGCACCCTGTTCTCAAACACCCTCAGTCTGTGTTCCTCCCTTAATATCAGAGACCAAGTTTCACACCCACAGAGAACCACAGACAAAATTGAGAAAAAGAGAAATACATACAAAATTTTGGCCATAAAGCCGGAAGAGAAGAAATTATTTGGGAAACCTAGGGGTAGAGGGGGGAATAATACAAAACAGATCTTGAAGAAATGGATGGAAGAATATGAGCTGGATTCATCTGGCTCGTGGCAGAATAAAATTATGGGCCAGTATGATCACTCTAATGAACTTCCGAGTTCAGTAAAACGCAACATACTAATATTTATCGACTAATTACGCGACTGTTAGTTTCTGAAGTAGGGCACTGCTCCATGGAAACGTTTCAGTCAGCAGACTAAAACCTTTTTCTATTAGTATGACTCTACACCTCTTTGTTGGGCCTTGGCCGCTTTTTCACTTTCTTAGTCCTATACACAGTCTGCAGGACTGTACGGACGGGGGATCGGTTCATTGCAAGGCCGCTATCTACACACAGGACAACACACAGAATAAACCCACAGACACATCCATGCCTTGAGAGGGATTCGAACCCACGATCCCAGTGTTCGAGCCAGCGAAGACGGTAAATACCTTAGACCAGTGTTTCTCAACCGCCGGGCCGCGGGTAACGCTATCGGTTGAGCACGCGGTAGCGTAGTTGGTTGAGGCGCTATGCTACAAGCCGGAAGGTCGCGGGTTCAAGTCCCGATGAGGTCATTGGATTTTTTCAGTTGACCTAAACTTTCCAGTCGCACTATGGCCCTGGGGTCTACTCAGCCTCTAACAGAAATGAGTACCAGGAATCATCATGGTGTGAGGGCGGCTGGCGCATAAGACTGATAACCTCACAGCCATCTATGATCCGATTTTTTAGAAAAGCTTGAGAGCCTCGATGTCTCACAACCCTATGGGCCCCCAAGGCCTGTTATAGGGATGGCTTTAACTTTATCCTTTTTAAGCTGATTTGATTATGGGCCCAGATACATGATACATTGTCCGATATTTTTTGTGATTTTGCTCAGTTATTTTATCAAGTCTTTGAGACGCTCTCTGAAGACAGTTCATGGTCACTTCCTTCCACATCGTTTCGAATCTATCATCCACAATCATACTACAGTTCGATACAACTCCACTTAAACACGTCAGATAACACTAGAATGGGTCAAATTAAGGAATCAGGATGCACTTCATATGTGGCTAAAATGAGGCATACAAGAAATTCTAACTGACTTTTGATAGTGTAACGTGTAGAGCCATCTCTGCGCAACGGTTCCTTATACACGCTCCCGCATACGCAAGCAACAATAGATTTCCTGTTGGAAACAGTGTTTTCTACTCGGCCCGTGCAAATTAGTTACAAGTAGGACGGTTGAAGCAACAAGGGGTAGTTAGAAGGGAGCCGCCGTTCAGAGAGAATTGGAGCACGGAATTAGAGGAACAGCCATTGTTGAAGCCGTTACCGGGAAAAGCCTTTTAAGAGACTGAGAAAAGTAGTTTATGTGCTTTAGTGAGTAGTAACAAGTCAAAATCTGATTCAGGAGAAGATTAAGAGGAGGTTGAATTCGGGTATGGCTTGCTACCATTCAGTGCAGTAAAAAAAAAAAAGAAAGAAATGGAATATACACGTACATAACTAATATTTTGCCTATAATTTTGTATGGATGTGAAAGTTGACCTCTGATACTAAGGGAGGGACGTTTGGGGATGTTTGAGAAGAGAGTCTTGAGTAGAATATTTTGATCGAAAAGGGATGAAGTGACAGGAGTTTAGGGAAAACTGTATAATAAGAGCATCATAACTTGTGCTCTTCGTGTAGTATGATTAGAATGATCAAGTCAAGGATGATAAAATAGAAAAAGGCACGTAGC